AGTTTAGGCTGTCTCAGGACTTTTATTATAGGAAAGGTTTGGAGGCGGTGACATGTGCGACACAGGCTGTGGTGAGTTTCACGGCTGTGTACTGACCTCCCAGGTGACCAAGTTCTGTGCAGTAAATACGGCGTCTCTGTAGCCGGCCAGTCATGCCTCAACAAAGTGGTTTAGGCTAACTACTGACCCACTAGCACCCAAAGCCCCCTGCTTGGACCCAGCCGCCGTTCCTCCCGTGCTCTTGGGGGGCTGCCCCGGGGGGGTCCCCAGGTGAGCACGTGTGGGTCCCTTGGCTCCCACCCTGTGCCCGAGGCGCTGCCCCTCAAGAGGGGCACAGGTGGAACGGAGGTGGGGAGGGCTCTGGGGGGGCCCAGGACGGCTGGGCTGCGGCTTGTGGCCGGCAGACTCTGGGGCTTTGCTCTGGGCACTGAGTCCCGCCTTCCTCCGTCCTGGCAGTGATTTCTGCAGTCAGATTTTTGTCGGCATTCATTTCCCTGAAGTCCAAGCTACTTGAATGTGAGGGGTCTGCAGATGCGTTCTCAAGGGTTCAAGGGTCCTCCAGTATGATGTTTAACTTAATTTAGGGTTTTCACTGCAACCTAATGGTGTAAGTGCGTGCAGCATTCTGACAAGTTTTGAGTTGATTTGCCTAAGGGTTCTGTCCTTCCCTCGTTACAGACAGCCCACACTCAGGCCTCCTAAGGTGGGCTACTGTTTCCCGTGTGAGGATTTCCTCCTTTCTCCTTCAGTCTGGAAAGGACATTCCTCGTGATGGAGGACGAGGAACTTGCAGAGCAGAGAGAAATAATTCAACATTGATGGGCCCGTAATGCTGTCCTTCGGTTAGAAGGCAGGGGCCTGCTCCCTCTTGGGCCCTGGCTCCTGGAAGGCAGTGGTGCCCGCAGACTCCTCTCTGGCAATGACCTGGGAGAAAGGAAGAGCTGGGACCTGGAAGAGCCACATCTTGGCCTAAAATTTGCCCCCTGAAACGGTGGCATGGAATGCCATGGCGAGGAGAATGAGGCATTGCAGATGCAGCAGTCATCCTCACCAGTGTTTGGAAGACGGGGACAACCAGGGAGATGATCTGACCAGGACACGCAGTGCGGTCAGGGCTGGAAATGCAGGGGGCGCTCGCGTGCCAACCCCGCAGTCCCCGTCCGCGGAACTTGGAACTAGCTTTTAGGTGAGCACTGTGAAAGTCACTGAATTTACCAGGAATCTGCCAAATTAAGTCCTCTGCCCTAAGACGTCATAGTTTTTGACGTAAAAATTAAAATAAGTAATATAAAAATAGAAAGATTAATTTTTCACAACAGGATTTATGGTGCGGAAGTTGCATACCTTTTGTGCCACCCCGATGATGGGCACAGTACCAGGCTTCTTCTGGGGTCAGGGTCCACCTTGGAATTTTTGTTTATGGCCCATCACGTGGGCACCAACGGACTCCATAACGAAGCTTCATTTAAACGCGTGTGTGTGTGTTCCCTCCCAAACACGTGTTCAGAGGTCCGCCAATTTAGAAATGAGACCTGTGTCCTAAATTATGCTATTTGTTAGGGGTGGACGGTCTGTGTAGGTGCCTTGTTAGGATGTGGAAGACAAAAATAAGACGCAATCTCTTTGCCACGCTGATTAGCATCCACGTCCAGGAGAGGCAGGGCAGATAGACGCTCCCAGCCATGCAGAGGAAAGAAGGGAGATCCTGGACATGGCAAGCCCGAGAGCAGGAGGGCGGAGGATGCAAGTGACCACCAGAGGGCAGCAGAGAACCGATCACGTCAGCCTGGAACAGTATCGTAAGGGGAAGGAAACATTCCGCGCTCCCAAGGATGACGCACTGGCTTCCTAGGTCAGGAAAATGTGTTTGTAAGAGGAACAAGTCCGAGAAATGTGGGTTTCAATCATAATTCAGAGAGATTCAGGCCTGTCTCACACTGGAAATGAGGGCTTTATGAATGTTGAAAATGGATTAAAAATAAAAGCTCTGCAATCTTCTGGCCCCTACATCTGCACACGAGGGCCTCGCCCTAAGTCCTGGCTGGGCTCTGGGCCCTGTTCTCCCTGCGGCCCACAGCCCCTCTGAGAGCCCTGCTCTTTCCAACCGGGCTGCTGCAGTTCCTCACATGGCCAGTAGATGGCAAACTTGTCCATGAACGCGCTTGGGTTTTCAGACGCCAGAGACTAGAATTAGTTTAAGACCCAGTTGCGTTCCGAAAAAGTCCCAAATCTTAACTTCCAATCTCTCCTTTATTCAAATTGTGGTTTTATATTTTTTCGTGTAAAACTCAGTTCAGAGACTGCAGAAGGAAGGAGTGGAAAAATGGCCCCTGCCTCCGATTCGGCCTCCATCTCCTAAGGGAATTTCCCTGTGTACATCCCCCTGAACCAGTGGCAGGAGAAAGGGAGAGGTAAGGGGAACAGCCGGCTTCCCTGGCTCACATTCATTCATTGTGGGCATGTTTCCTTGCCAGGTGCTCCTACGGAAACACACGTGAAAGATGACAAATCTTGCTTTCAAAGTCAACTGCATTTTTAAGAGTAGAAAACATAGGCATTAAAAGTATAGTAATTTAGCAACTACAAAGAAGTCGAGAAAATCTTCACGGAGGGAAAGTGAGTGAAATGTAACACAGGAATGGTTGGTTCCTATTTCATTTAGGGCCGTTCGGGCAGGAGGTGGAAACATTATTTGGCGCATGGTATTTTCAATATTAGGAGAAAATGGACTTGGAGACACGCAGATAACAAAGAGCAATGGATTAGCAGGGAGAGAGAGGAAAACAGCCGCATAGAATGGAGTAGCCACTTAAATTGATATAAAGTGAAGTAAGGAAATAATTTGTGGCTAGTTTCATGATCATATATAAACCATTTAATGAACTGATTGAGATTTAATATAAAATTATGTTAATTTAAAGTGTTTCATCTTCAGAAATTGAGCTTTTATATTTCAAATTAATGTTATTTAAAAATTAATTGAAGCCAAGGAGATTTTACACAACTTCAGATTCCTTTTGGCAAAAAGAAAGAAAGAAAGAAAAAGAAAGAAAGAAAATTACAGCCTAAAAAGCATGAATGCTTACATAGAAAATCCTGAGAATGCTATTAAAAATGCTTAGAATAAGCAAAGTTAATGACTGTAGAATTTTAAAAAGACACATGAGTTTAATTCTCTATATCAGCAGCAGAATACTGCACATAATTTTTTAAAAAAATTATATTAGTATAGCAATAAATATGTAACACATTAGAGATGAATTGAACCAAAATATAATGTTCCTGCAGTGGAAAACACTGATATAAGAAACTAGTGAAATCCCAAATATTAAAAGAGATAAAACATGTTTTGGTTCTGAAAACATTGATATTGTTATAATACCAATTATCTTCAACATATCACTAACGATTACTTTGAAAAACTATATACTAACAACTTGGAAAATTCAGAAGAAATTACCAAACATCTGGACACATATGACCTACCAAAATTGAGTGAAGAGGATATAAAAATTCCTAAAAGGGCCAATAACAAGTAATGGGGTTGAATCAGTAATAGAAAGTCTCCCAACAAAGAAAAGCCTAAGAATAGATGAATTTACTACTAAACTTGGCAAACTTTTAAAAAAAGAACTAACACCAATGTTTCTCAAACTATTCATAGAATTAAAAGCAGGGGAACCTCTTGACACTTTCAACGAGGTCAGCATTACCCTGTTACCAAACCTGGCAAGGACACAACCAAAGAGAAAACTATAGACCAATATTCCTGTTGAATATAGATGCAAAACTCCTCAAAAAACTGCTAGCAAACTGACATTACCAGCACTTCAGAAAGATCATGCACTATGACCAAGTTGGTTTCACACCAAGGATGCAAGGATGGTTCAACAAACATAAGTCAAACATAATACATCACATAGACACAAAAAAGACTAAAAATCATATGAACATCTCAGTACATGAAATACTATTTGAAAAAAATTCAACATCCCTTCCAGATAAAACCCTGAACTAATTAGGTATGGAAGGGTCAAACTTTAACAGAATCAAGGATGTATATGATAAACCCATAGCCATCATCATTCCAAATGGGGAAAAGCTCAAAGTATTTCTTCTAGCATTAGGGCCAACTCAAAGGTGCCCACTCTTGTTGCTTTTATCCAACATAGGACATGTGAGGAGAGCCATAGCCTGCCACCCATCAGCAGTTCCCAGTTTGCGTTCTGAGGGAGATTTTCAACAGACTAGATCCTGCCACCTCTTAGGGTGTGGAGAAGTAACACAGAATAAGAAAAGTTGCTTTGTGGAGAGTTGGGAAAGAAAGGCCTAGAGAGTGTCCTCTTGGCTCTCCGGTGGAAATCCTCAGCAGGGAAGAACACCGTCAAGGCCGGAGTGCAGCGGGAAATGGGTGGGGAGGGGAAGCTAAAACAGGGCCGGAGGCGCTCGGAACTCAAACCACACAAACAGATGAAGTACTGAGGCCCCTGACCGGATCTGGGGCCCCTGTGGGGTCTCTCATTCCCAAGTCCTAACCTAGTGCTCTGAAAGAGCGTTTCCTTTGGCTTTAGACTTGGCACTGTGGGAGAGTCAGAAGGAGATGTTGGGGAGGCAGATTCGAGAGACAGTTGAGAGACAGGTAGATAGATGGAGATCATTATATACATTTGCATTTTTATAAAATTCCCACTTGCTTCTAAGGTCCTGGTTATATCTTGGGGGAAAAGACGCAAAAATATTTGCACTTCCTCGGTTTTCCTTGCTCCGAGTTTCTGAACACATATTTTCCCAGTGATACTCGGATTATGACCTTAGGGAGGTAGAGTTAGGATGAAGTCATTTTGTAACATGGACCCAAGGGTTTCACAGATGTGAGTTTTAGCAGGAGAAGACATGAGTGACATCCGCAGCAGACAGTGCACTCCCTAAGGGCTCTGGGGAAACAGTGCTGCCACTAGGGGCTCCCACAGGTTCCTGACTTCTTACAGTTAAGGGTCTGCACTGACTTACGCTCTTCCAGGCTTCCTAAGAGTTTTAAGGCAGGAATCAGATTCCTTATATTGATTTAATTCTCATGGAGTGTCTCTGACCTACCATTTCCCAGTTGAACTCGGACTGGTGCAGTTGCTTCTCACCATTTAATATCATCAAGGAGATGTCATTCAGGTGTTATCAGAAATCCCCTCAAACGTACAGGAAGCTAGAGTTTGGGAGAACAGGAAACCATGAGTCCTGTTCAAATGGAAACTTCTCTGACATGGAAGGAGAACTGAAAGCCTTTTCTAAATTCTCCCAAGTTTAGCAACTTCATGGGCAGAACCAATCAGTGCTCCGGGACTAAACAGTATCATCAGTTGCTGAGAAACTCCTTGGGTTAAAAGTGCTATTACAACAAGTAAAATATCTTTGAATTTCCCATGAAATATATATGTCTTTAATAACATGGTATTATGGCAGCCAGTAAAAGGCAGATAGAAAAATTGGACTGCTTTATTTTTTCTCTGAAAGAGGAAATCATAAGCAAAATCACACAGGATACTGTAGAACTCTCACCTAGCCCATCCCCTTGCTTCCAGGAAATTTATAACTGAATAATCTTAGGGAAGAATTGTACTTTGGGTCCTCCTGTTAGTGATCTAGGACTTAATATCAGAGGATGTTGAAAACTTTTGGATGTGAACAGATAATCAACAATGTATAGCATGCTTGCTCTCAAAATTTGTAAGGATAGCTTTCTGAAAGAGTAAGCCCTTGACACCACAGTGTGGAAAATCTAGCCTAAGAAGAGGTGCCATGACCCATGGTAAAGGACAGGCTCACCATCTGATGGGTTACCGCACTGCCAAGCTGCTGCGCATCAGAAGTATTGGAACTTCAGTCCTTTCTATGTGTACCTTGATGTTGTCCTTTCCATTGCACTGTATTTTCAGAAACAGGATGCGGTGCCTCCTAACTTCCAGTATCCTGGAAATGTCAAAACATTTTCTTTGGATCATACGTTTAGCGGTGACATTACAGGAGAAGAGGTGTTAGAATCTCCTGACCGAGTGAAGGAAGGGTACAGCCTCCTGCAGGTTCTAACACTTAGTGTCCCCGTGAGTAAGCTCTGCTCAGGTTACTCAGTGATAGTCATTGATCGGAGTCCCAAGGGAGGTCTGTTCCCCACGCTTGAGTCCCTCCAGTCCCTAGCAGAGTCAGGAGAACACTCAGTAATTGCTGCCCATGTTCCAAGAAGTAGCTCGCCCTCTCCAGCTTTAGGAGTGCTGGGACTCAGAGTTTTTCCTCCGCTTTTCTCTAAGTAGAGCAGACTGTTTCGGATCCTAGGGTCACAGGCTGTTGATCACTCTGGGGTTTGGGAGACTGCAGGAGGTGAAGCGGTAAACAGCCCCTTAGCTCTTGCCCAGTTCTGCCAAATTCGCGTAGTCCCCATGGTTTGGCTTTAGATGATCCGCCTTCCTTTAAAACGTTTCCCTACTGTCAAAGCCGAAACTAGGTTTGCATTTAACTCTCACTTAGGGTGTTTCCATTGATTCTATCTATTCTCACTAATATGCTTCAAGTAGATCCCTTGCCAGAACTTGGATAGAGACAAGACACTGAGAGATTGATTAATATTGTCAAAAACCTGGGTTTCTGGTTCTGTTTATTGAAGAATTATACTTCTTCATCTAATGAACTTCACTATCTCCTGTCCTGAACCTTTTACAAGAACGCTCTCCCTAGCAACAGATGTGTCATCAGAATATTTTTTTCTGATTGGCTAACGCTCAACTGATTTGCATTTTAATCTTCTTTTCTTTTATCCTTGTCTATTTTAACTCGATTGGGAGCTCTGCTGACTCCCATCAGAGCACCCAAGAGGAAAATGGCTGTAAGTGGAGTCCTGGTGTTAGAACTTTTCTTCATAACTGTCCTGGTGTGGCCTCAGGAATCATGGGCTATCAAAGGTAGGTGCCGAGAGGAAGAAAACCAGGGACAGTGTATGGGAAGGGTTTGGAGAAAGGAGGTGCGGGGTTTGTAGGTCGCCTGTGGTGTGAAAGTGTGGCAGGTATTATATGGGTCTAAATGTGAAAGTGTGAACATTGCAGCTTGCCGGGCGTGGTGGCGCACGCCTGCGACCCCGCACTCAGGAGGTGGAGGCAGGAGGATCGCCGTAAGTTCGAGGCCAACCTGGGCTTCACAGTGAGTTCGAGGCCAGCCTGGATGACATAGCTAGGCCCTGCCTCAAAAAAAGAAAAAAAAAAAGCAAGACAAATAAATTGAATAAATTGCAATTTAATGGAGTTCTTTCCTCACCGCAAATAGAAGTGAGTCAAATTTATTTTAGAGTAACAAAACTGAGTTGGCAATTGATTACTAGATTGATTACTAATTGATTCAATATAAGCCAGACCTGCAAGAGCGGGAATATATTCTGACAGACATTAGCAAGTTATATGTCTGGGCTTTAACTTTCATTATATTTGTAAAATTTAGAAATTGTAATAATTTTGTTAGGATTAAATGAGGAAAACTGTGAGACTTTCTTAGCTTAATAGATGGCAGTTAATTTTTGGCATGTGAATTCTGTCAACATATTTTCACCACAGACGCTGGATTGAAGATCATTAGGAAGCAAAGTCACTAAAAAGCAACCGTCTGCCCAAGGGAGGGAAAAAGACAGGCATGTCGATATTCATTTCATTTCATTTACCGTACTGGGACGGGGTAGCTACCTCCTTCCCTCACTCCATGCTACAAGGGATTTCACATGATCTATGTCATTGTTACTTAGAAACATTTCTTTGTTTGTTTCAATAATTTTTGTATGAATTAAGTTTGTTGGTACAATTTAGATATACATAACCATCTCATTCTTCATATGGAATTTGCACCGGTAAAAGATGTATCTGAATTCTTATCTTTTCCCTTTCCCTCCCCTCCCTTCAGCCCCTCTTTCCTTCCTTATGTAATAAGAGTAGAAAAATGAATAAGTAGAGCATCTGATACTATTCTCTGCCATCTGTAAAGAAAACTTCTGTGCTGTTGTAAATATGTACTAGGAAAAAATCTTCTTCATCCTAAGTGACTCTACCCAGGCTTGCAGGTAGGATGGAAACAAAGTAATAACTCAGCTTCCAGGTCCATAAGGCCATTGTAGGGCCGGGAAAGAGCCCTAAATGGCCATGGTTACCTTAAAAAGGTAAAGGTTCTTCCCTTGTGATGGGAAGTGACAGCTGGAGTGTCTGTGTTTGTGCATAAATCCAAAGTGTTAAATAAACAGCTGGGTTTATCAACATGTAGTCAAATAGCAAAATCCCCCACCTTTTCCCTGAAGATTAGGTACAGAAATGCTCCCCTGTCATCTGCACACACACCACGGGGGCTGCATGCTCTCCAGTTGGAGATTTTTCCTTTTCAAGTTGATTATTCTCTTGGTATTGGTTATACTCAGTATCAATCCGAATATGCCTCATAAGGACAGGCTTATATAAGAAGGATTAAAGAAAGGCCAAGTAACCAAGGTCGACCCAGACCGACCTTTCTCACAGGAGAATCACAGTATGACCTTGGACCCAAGGAAGGGAGTGTTCTAGAACACAGTGAGGACTCAACCTGAATTTCCTGTGGCCCTCAAGCCCCGATTATATTTGTTTAATCCTTAAGTATAAATCACTTTCTAACTCTAAAATGTGAACTCATTAGGCACACTAAGCACACTGAGTAATTACTTTCCTTTTCATTTCAATTTTAAAACCAAGCCCATGGCAGAATGAAAACTCAGCAGAACTATAATTAGAAAATTACGCACAAGTAGGTAGAATAATCTTCTCAAGATCACTAAGAAGTAGATTAATAAGAATTAAAAGGGTTTTTTTCTGTCTTGTTTTGCAGTACTAGGGATGAACTCGTGCTAGGCAAGTGCGCTCCACCACTGGTCTAAATCCCTAGCCAAGTGTTTCAGATTTCATTTGATTCCAGACTTCAGACAGTGGTTGAACTTGAAACTGTTCAAGGCATGATTCCCTTCTCACAGCACTGTGCTGGGAGAAAGATGCCCTGGACTTCCTCCCCAAGTGTACTTGATGCCTGGGTAAAGCATAGTGAGAGAGCATTTTTCTCTTAGGGGCTGTTCTGCGTTTCTAAAGAGAAAGACATTTCTCAGCTGGTCACATGGAGCCAATTAATAGTGTCACAGGACTGACCTTTTCATGTCATCGCCTTCAGCCCACCCTCTTAGCCCTGATTCCCTCATCTCTTCCCTCCCAGCTTTGTTCAGTGCAGAGTCTTTCGTCCAGACCTCCTGTTTTCACTCATCCCTCCTCTCCTTCCTCCTCTCCTCCATCTGGCTTCTCCTCTGTCCTTCACATCCGGCCCACACCCATGGAGGATCTCCTTTGTGTCCTTCTCCTGATTCCTGCTCTAACTCCCTTTTCTGCTTTTTCAGAGGAACATAAGATCATCCAGGCGGAATTCTATTTGTCCCCTGATGAAACAGGAGAGTTTATGTTTGACTTTGATGGTGATGAGATTTTCCACGTGGATGTAAAAAAGGAGCAGACAGTCTGGAGGCTGGAAGAGTTTGGACGGTACGCCAGCTTTGAGGCACAGGGTGCACTGGCCAATCTAGCCGTGGACAAAGCCAATCTGGGAATCATCACGAAGCGTTCCAACAACACTCCGGACGCCAACGGTACCTCTCTCTGTGTATCCCTTGATGCCGAAATCCATAGCTTTAAAATATATGCTTCAGCACTTTGCCTTATACTATAATTTTCCCTCCCAGAGGCCTGACCCTACCATAAGCAAACCACAAATTCTCATCCCATAGCCTGAGAACTTCGTGAGTTTGTGCTTTTCTTGATGTGCTCAAATCCTGGGTCTCTCATCCATGATCACTCCCAAAGTCACCGCCCTGAGCCTGTGATGGGGAGACAGGAATGAGGACTTTGGATATCTCATCACTCAGTATTGGCTCTAGTGTGTACCTAGAGCAATGTACCTGAGAATGTGGTACAGTTTAATGGCTTTGTTTTGTTTTGCTTTTTTGCTTTAGAATCATTAGATGGTTCTGTACCCAAGTCAGTGCGGGAGGGATAGGAGCGAGCTTAAGGAATGAAGGCTAATTTCTGTCCATGTCTCCTAGTACCTCCTGAGGTAACCGTGCTCTCCCACGGCCCTGTGGAACTGGGAGAACCCAATATCCTCATCTGTTTCATCGACAAGTTCTCCCCTCCGGTGCTCAGTGTCTCATGGCTCAAAAATGGAAAGCCAGTCACCACAGGCGTGTCAGAGACAGTCTTCCTACCCAGGGAAGACCACCTGTTCCGCAAGTTCTACTATCTGCCCTTCCTGCCCTCTACTGACGATGTCTACGACTGCCAAGTGGAGCACTTGGGTTTGGATCAACCTCTTCTCAAGCACTGGGGTATGGAGAATCCTTAGGTTCCCTTCATTTTGCAGTTTCCTCCTCTGATGCTTCTGTCTGGACCCTTAGAACTCAGAAGTAGTCCATAACATCGGCCTCAGTTCATGCACCTGTGTTCTCCCTTTCCTCAGCTCCCTTTACTTTTCCATCTGTATTCCCCTCAATGCATCATTCTCTCCCCCCTTATTTAATTTATTAGTAACTATTTGCTTGACTTCATTTGATCCTAAGTGCTGTTCCCTACTACATTTATTACCATCTACCTGTTTTATTTCCCCTCAGAGTTTGAAGAGCGAAGCCCCCTCCCAGAGACCACAGAGAATGTGGTGTGTGCCCTGGGCCTGACTGTGGGCCTGGTGGGCATCCTTGTCGGGACTGTCTTGATCATCAAGGGCATGGGCAAAAACAGTGCTGCGGGACATCAGGGGCCACTCTGAATCGTGTGAAGGTAGGTTGGACATGGTCAGAGAAAGATACCTGTAGTTATTTGAGGGAGGGAAGCAGACAGAAAAAAATACATCTGATGCCTTTGAGAGAAAAAGGTAAGAAAGTTGTGCCTCTTAGATTTCTCTTTGCTAGAACAGATCAGACATTGGCATCACATGGTACCCCAGAACTCCAGGATCTGTCATCCCTTTGGATACACAAGCTCATAGATGACACCTGAATAAGTCTTAGAAATGATCTCCTGCACATAAGACCATTGTTTATCACTGAAATACTGCACCTCACCAGCTTAGGAATGTAGGCCTCAAGGTTTACACACTTTCCTGAAGCATCCTGTCAGTGCAGAAGCATTTCCGGAGTCCAGATCCACTGGGGTTGTGGTAAATTCATTGCATGAAACAGCAATCTTATAGGGACCAATGCTCCCTTTTAATCCTCCAGGCTGAAAAGTGCTTTCAAAAGATCTAAAAATAAATAAAGAATGGTTGCTTTTTCATGATCACTTGGAAAGCAGGTGTAGGTTTACAGCTTATGTTGGAAATGTTGTCTTTAAGAGAGGGCAGATAAATATTAAAAGACTTTTCCATAGCAAAATCATTAAAAGAGGAAGATATCTGAAGGAAAGAATGCAAAATATTCATCTTAAACTCCTTAGTAACGATGCATGTTCTACTACAGGTGATGGCTTTTCTTAAAGAGAAGATCAATGAAGAAGCTTCTTGCCTGGTTTGGATAACTTTCAGCATTTTCCAGCCCTGCACTGCAAATGTGATGATGCCTTCCCCAGTCTGTCCATGCTCTAACATCGAGCTGGGCCTCCTGTCCACTGCCCCTTGCTGTGTTTGTTCCCCTCTATTTCTCATTATTTTATTATCACTGGACAATTCCTCTGGAATACATCCCGAAGGATTCTGTTATGTAACTTTCTAACTATTGCATGGGAACACCTCCTTTGTACTTATTGCTTGGGGTTTCTCCAAACTGTCAGTTTTCTACATACAATAAAGTATTTTTATGAATTGTGGTAGAGTTTTCAGTGTCTGAGCTAGTTCTTTTTGGGGGTGAGGGTGTCTGGGAAATAGATGTGATCTTTTTGTCCTGAAAGACCTGAATGTTGAAATGTATTTTAAACTGTGGAATTAATCAGAAACCCTGGCTCATTAGAACTCATTTTCATTTCAAGCATCTACAGACAGTTCTGTTGCTGGAAATCCTCATCTGTGTAACTCTAGAGCAGGATTGGGTTTAGTTTTGTTTTTGATAGATCTCTCCTGAGCAACAGGTTCCAGATCTGTTTTGGTTCTTGAGCCTTTAAGTCAGTGATGTGCCTATATCTTCAGTAGAGTGAATCTCAAATCCTGGAGTTTGGCCTCTGAAGATGAATGAGAGAGATGGAGGGGAACCAACAGGGATAGAGTGGGGAGCAGGATGAAAAGTGGATCCACATATTTTTCAGGATTTACACTCATATCAGAGTCACTTATTCCAGACTTAGGAATGGGATTGGGCACCAAAGGCTGGCATTAACCTAGGCAGTCTGTAGACATGGTCTTGTACATCTGTTCCATTACTAGGAGAAGAGTCTGACTTATTTTTGGAACTGTATTACATTTGGAGATGTGCCTTGAGGTGAAAGTGAGTCAAAGCAGGGGGCAGGATATAGCCTTAAAATGAAGGAAAGAACACGTGAAATACAGCGAATTAAATTTGACTGTGAAACTTTTCCAGTATTTCTAAAATGGTTGCCGGAACCTACCACAAATCAGAAAAGAGACAAAGGACAGGCACCCAACCCTCCCACCACCTAGCTCCTTCCTCCATCTCCCACCCCCACCCCTGCAGGCTGGAGGGCCGTGTGGCTTGGCTTTTGGGCCCCTCTCCTTCGCCCCTCAAATGGGCTGGGACTACGTGCTTCAGTGTCTTCCCTGATCGTCCAGCAACCACTGTCCTCGACGCCACTCCGCCATGAGTGCAACGCCACCATCAGTGTGGGGCCCCTCGTCTGCCCTGCCACTTCAGAGGCTACCGTTGCCTCTTTGGAGAAGGGAGAGGGCGCACCTGGTATGGCTGACACCAAGGAGGGAGGGACCTGGGTCCACTGCTCACATCTCCAACCCCACAGCCAGCCTTCCAGAAGAGTCCCAGGTTTCAGCCCTGCCCCCTCACTGGATCACAGCCAGGAGAGCTGAGCTGTCCTGGAGCCTTGCACCAATCAGGGGCCTGCACTTGGACCAATCACAGGCCTGCAGCTGCTATATAAGCAGCACCCCCCCACTCTTAGGTTGGTCTGAGAGGCTCCCTCTAGAGTGCTGACCACCGTGCACTGCGACGGGCCCTGCAGAAGTAAAGGCTTGCCGCCACAGTTCTGTGAACCTGCTCTTATGATTTGTTTCTTGAGTAGTCTTGATCATGTCAAAGGAGAGAGCAGTAAACACTAAGGGTTGTTAGCGCCGAAGATTCCAGAGACCAGCAGTCAGCAAAGATGGGCGGCAGAGAACAGCACGCATTGGAGTTGACCTATGGTGTCTGGCACAAGACGGCTGCAAACGGGGGCAGTGGCAGTGACCAGCAGCAGGCTGCACCAGCTGTTGGAATCCAGTATCATCTGGTGTGATCTGGTGAGGTCAGGACTGCTGGCAGAACTGCACTTTTCAAATTCATGATTTCCACCTAAATGGAGCAAAAGAACCCTAAGCTGATTGGCACTATAAAGGTTAATTATTCGTGATGGTGTGATAACAGACAAACAACTGCTATTGCAGTGAGTTAGGCTGTATCTCACCTTGGTTCTATCATTGACGAGCTATGTCTTCACTGGCATCTTAACGTTGCCTCAGATTTTCAATGAAAACACTGATGTCAATTTTTACTACAATGAGTCATTACAAAAAATAAAGGAAAGAAAAGCAAAATACTTAGAAACTGGTTGGTGAAAATATGGCAAACATTGAAAATTACATTGTTTTCCTCAAAACTTCTACAGCCTTAGGATAAAAACATAAGAGAAGCAAAACAAAGAATCACAGGCCAAGACTTAGTATGCATAACAAATTTTTCTACTTATGGAAAGAGAAAGTAGAATCTGGAGACTGTTGAGGATAGACTAGGCAGAGGTGTGTAATTTTATTCTTAAATAAACAGAACTCAAGATAGAGAATACACTAAAACTTAGACAAGTATGGAATTTAAAAATCCATATCCTCCCATACAAGTAAACAAATTTTTAACATACTTGATTGCAGTGGTTTTAAATTTATAAAAAATTGCAGAGAAAGCAGTTTCCACATTCCTTTTCCCCACATTCAGTTTCTACTACTATTAACATCTCTCACAATGTGGTATACTTGTTATAACTGATAAACCAATATTTATACTTATTAACTAAAGTCCATAGCTATTAGGCTTACCCTGTAGAAGACAGCTCTATAGATTCTGATAAATACTTAAAGTCATATATCTACTCTTACAGTTGCATGCAGAATACTTTCACTGACCTAAAAATGCTCTGTGTTCTGCCTACTCCCCCCTTCTCCCCTCTCTCTGGACCCCTAGCAACCAACTGCTCATCTAGTTACTGCCTCTCTAGTTTTGTCTTCTCCGGGATGTTACATAGCCACAGTCGTAGGGTACACAGCCTTCTCAGACTGGTTTCTTTCACTTAGCTGGATGCACATAAGTTTCCTCTGTGTCTTGTCATAGCTTGAGAGTGTATTTCTCTGCAATGATGAATGATACTCTACTTTACGGATGTACCACAGTTTCCTTATGCACTTACCCATTGAGAGGTATCTTGGTTGCTTCCAATTTTGAGCAATTATGAATAAAAGTACTATAAGTACACATAAAAGTTTTTGACTAGTCATAAGTTATCTACTCATTTGGATAAATACTTAGAAGTGCGGCTCCTGATTTATGTTTTAAGAGTACGTCTGGCTTTGCAGCCAACCGCTGAGTGGCCTCCAAAGCAGCTGTCCAATGTTGTACTCCTGTCAGCAATGTATGAGAGTCCCTGTTTGTCCTTCATCTTTGCTGACATCTGGCACTGTGAGGGTTACAGATTTCATCCAGAAAGCCACTTTAAAAAACTTTTAGTTTGAAATAATTATAAGTTGATAGGAAATTGCAAATACACCACCTCTTCACCCAGTGTCTCCACTGTATGATCTGACCTGACCATAGTAAGATACCCAAGCCCAGAAACTGCCACTGGTGTAGGGTGTGTGTGCTTTGATGCCTATGTTGTACCACATTTGTAGAATGCACAATTAAGCACAAATCCTATTCCTTTACCACAGAGATTTCTTTTGTGGTAATCCCACGCTTCCCCCAAATAAGACCTAACTAGATATTAAAACGCCAGCCCCAATCAGCCTGTCTTTGCTCTATGTGCCATTTCAGAGTAGCCACCAAGCAAGCAAATAGTAAGCTATAATCTTCTGCGTGACACTGACCATCACCATGGTAATGACCAGCTATTAATTACTGTCCAAGTTTCTTTTCTGGTTAGGTTTTATTTTGAAGGAAACAGTGTTTATAGCTATAACTTCTCCTACACACATCATCCTACCACTTAACAATCAGTGATGTCTTCAGTCCATGTTTGTGCCATTCCAAGGATGTTAGCTAAGTGGAGTCATACAGGTTGTGGCTCTTTGAAACTGGCATTTTTTACTCAGCATTATATCTTTGAGAGCCATCCAAGTTGTAGCATGTGTTCTTTTTAACTACTGAGTAATATTTCTTGGTATGGTTGTACCACAGTTTGTTACTGCGCATTGAGGGATATCCTGGATGCTTCTGGTTTGGGACTACTGCTTATAAAGTTGTTAATGAACATTTGTGTGAAGATGAGTCTTCATTTCTCTGATGTAAAATCCTGGACCATAATTGCTACATCATGTAGCAAATATATGTTTAGTTTATCAAGAAATTGCCAAACTATTTTCTAGAGAGACTACCATTTTACATTCTATCAGTGCATGAGAAATTGCTTTTCTGCATTCTCATCAGCATTTGGCATTGTGAGTAATTTTTATTTTAGTTCCTTTCAAAAGGTATGCAGTGACAGCTCGTCATGTTATCAATTTGCATTTCTCTAATGGGAGTGATTGCACATTATTCTTGATGCTTATTTTCCATCTATTTCTTCTTTGGTAAAATGTCTCATCATGTCACTTGCCTGTTCTGTAATTATACTTTTTAAACTATGAAGTTTTGGGATTTCTTTATATATTCTAGATAACATGTCCTTTGTGATACATGTAGCTCTTAAATATTTGCTCCTTATCTGTAGCTTATCCTTTTGGCTTTTAAGAATATATTTTACAGAAAAAAGTTTTTAGTTTTTACAAAGGCCAATTTACTGATGTTTATCTTTTACCTATAATGGTCCTGCTGGCATGTATCAGAAATCTTCCTCAGGCCCTACCTTGGTAAGTCTTAATTTCTATACCTGTAAAAAATTTAAAAAATTTTGTCATAGTGACTTCTCCAACTTTATTTCTCTTTATCAAATTTGTTTTATATGTTCTAATTATCTTGCTTTTAAATATTAATTTTGGAATAACTTTGTCTATATAAGTGTTAAAATTACTTTATTTATTTATTTGCTTAAATTCTTTTATTGGTACATTTTAGGTATACAGTACATTTACATTTATCTTTGGGTGCTTGTACCTGAACATGATGAATCTTGGTTCTTATTTTTTCCCCATTCCCTGTGCGCCCTTCACCCCTCCACCCTTCCCTATTTATATAGACTTCATTTCCATTTTTTTTCTTTTCTCATAATTTTTCCTTTCCATTCTTTCCTTTCCCCATCTCCTCCCACCACCCCTACACCTTTGGACCTTTTCCTGTTTCAAAGTATCACTTATTAGTTATTAATCCTTTTAGTCCTTATTTACACT